GTAAGATCTCGGAATGATACAGAAAGCGTACAACAATAAATCATTACTTTTTAAGGAGGATACCTGTAAGGGTCCAGACTGTTGCAATATGCTTCACCTTAGCATCTCTATAAATAAATAATATGCAGCACTCCAAACAGATAATTTTTGATCTTCATATATTTCTGAAAATAGGAATGACATATAAACATAAAAGTAGATCAGAGTATACATACAAGATCTTCCCACATTTCCTCTATCTAGACAAAGGCAAACTCTCATCTACAAGCATCATATACATTTTTATTAGAACAGGGAGAAGACACAGGCAAAAAGTACAGCATTTAACAAACATCAAGACATGGATACAGTGAAGGAAATAGGTATTTGATCCCCTGCTGATTTTCAATGACCTTAATGCGATTGAAAATCTGTGGAAGGAGCTGAAAGTTCGAGTTGCCAAACATCAGCTACCAAACCTTAATGACTTGGAGAGGATCTGCCAAGAGGAGTGGGCAAAAATCCCTCCTGAGATGTGTGCAAACCTGGTGGCCAACTACAGGAAACATCAGACCTCTGTGATTGCCAACAAGGGATTTTTTGTTGCTGTTCTGTCTCTCGGTGTTACAATACACCTACCATTCGATTTTTAGACTGATCATTTCTTTGTGAGTTGGCAAACATTCAAAATCAGCAGGGGATCAAATACTTATTTCCTTCACTGTAGATACAAGTTAAAGACATTTAGATGGCATGCAAACACTCATGATCACACATAGTTAGGATTCACGTTTTAGTGTAAAAACACTTTTTCAAGAGAGATTCATCTACAACTTTAGCATCTACCTTATGAAGGTGCTTCATGCACATGTTCTAATATTTAATTGTATCAAAAAACAAAAACAAAAAAATAATAGATTGCAGCCTACAAAACCCTGTGGTGACTGCATTGGTTCTCCTTTTCAGGCTTTTTACTTTTTTTTTTTACCTGGGAATCCATCCAGCAACACATTTCACATGTAAGGATAGCTAGCTACATTCACTCTTTCACTATATCTTTGGAGGAGCAACCTAGCCACCTTTGGATACCAACATTTTCAACTAGTAAAGAGGTAGTGTTAGATGAACTATACAGAAAAAACTATTTCCTTGATCCACAAAGACCTTTGGTTGGCAGGAACATATAATGCATCCAAGAAAATCAAAGCAGGCATTTCAGCTCTCCAAATTTTCCACTGGGTGGTGGAAGGTAATCTGGACAAAGACAAAAGCAACAGAGAGCGCACATCTGCCCTAGTGTAACTCCATTTATTGAATTATAAAAAAGACTAAAACCAATGCACTCACATAATAATGAAATATATAACACACATCAATCAGTGGTGCTCCTCAGCTTCTCCTTGGTTGCAACTGTGGTGTATAATATAATATAATATAAGGACTAGTGCTGTGACAGCATTCCCTGGATGACAACTGTTAGAAATCGTGGTATCCCATACAGCCAAACTTAAAAGGCCCCCTTCAAAAAAAAGAAAAAAGTTTACTATGCCTCAGTTACGAATGAACACAGTGAGTGATTGGTACCATGAGATGCCAGCCTGTAAACCTGCGAGCCTGATGAGAACCTTATGACTGTACTTACCCCCCTGGATCCGAGGAGTGGTGTGCTCGGGGACCGAGCGAATTGCTGAGCTGCGTGTGTGGGGGAGTGCCCTGTAGAGCAGGGGTGCAGGTCTGCGACCGGTTTGGCAGGTCCTGTGAGTCCCATGCTCAGCAAGGAGCTGGAGGGATTGCTGTGAGGAGAGACAGAGAAGATGGGGCCCTCAGATGTGGAAGGACCCATAGGTGCCTGGGGACCGCCTGACCGTGAAATGGTGGCTGTCTGCCTGAAGTATAAACCGAAACCACAGAGATCAGTGTCTGGGGTCACAGAGTGATTATATTAAATAAACTCCGATTAAACCCCACACCAGAACCAGTGATCTAAATAAAAGAAAAAGGAGACCCAAGCACAGTATAATCTTTGCACTGGGAAAGATTAAAGGAGGACACAATACTTGAAGATAAAACTGTCAGAGCTCATCTGCATACTGGAGGAACAGTAACACAAAAAGAAGTCAAAGAGGAAGGTGAGTTGCAGTAGGACTATGTAAAAATATGCATATGAACTGTTATTGCCCTGCAACATAATATAAAATTAATGTGTGTTAACTGTTTGAAGAAAAAATAAAAAAGGACTAAAGGAGAGAGAGGTCTTGTGGTTCTGTGAAATAGTGGGACTGTACACTGCTTTACTAATATGTATTATTGACCGTTAAAACCAAACAGAGCATTTCCACAGAGGATTATAAGAGCCTTTCTATTGATTTGCTAAGTGGGAAAGGTGAAGAGGATTAGATGAGCGATATTACATTAAAATGAAAAGATAATAGCTATATGTGGGAGAAGGAGAAAGAAGAAGAGACAGAGGAAAGGGAAAAGAAAAATGAGAAGTAGAGCAAATAAAGGGTAAGGCCCTAAAACCCCCCAACCTGCCGTGAACTCTTCTACTATAAAAAAATATATGCCCATTCAAGAAAAAAAAGAGCTGCAAAATAATGAGAATTATCGTGAAAGGCCCATCAATTCAGAAGGAGACCAATCTAGACTACCACTTGGTTTGATGGAAGAGAATCAAGATAAAGAAATTGTATCAATAGGAAGCATAGGTGAACAAAGAAGAGTTGAACAAGAAGGGTCGATGGTTCACCCACTCTCAAAAACAGAACTGGTTGAAATGTTCACAAAAATGGAGATGGTTCTGAAAAAAGGAGATCGGGAATCTCTGAAGCGACCTGGGGCATATATTAGTCCGAATGGAAGAGATTGAGAGAAAATCAGAGGAACAAGAAAAAAAAAATAAAGAACTTAGAGGGGCAAGCAGAAGAGAGGAGGTTAGAACAGAGAGACCTACTACTCAAATTGGAGGAACAAGAGAACCACTATAGAAGGAACAAGTTAAGGATTAGAGGGTTACCCGAAGAAATAGGGCAAGAAGAGGAACTTACGAGGAAAATTAAAAAAATCTGCAGCCCAATAATGGGTAGAGCGGAGCCAGACAATTTGAAAATGAATAGAGTATATAGGGCCAAAAAGGAATCCCAGTAGATGGCCCCAGGGATTTGATCATAAAGTTCCAGGAAATAGGAGATAGAAAATGGATATGGAAAGGGATGCAGGACTTCGCTGAAATAAAATATGAAGATCTTTGCAGATGTGGCTCCAGAGACATTGGCTAGGAGAGATTATTAATCCACATGAGAGAGAAAAAAGTCAGATATAACTGGGGTTTTCCTGCCTCCTTAATCGGATGGAAAGATGGAAGATCGGCGAGGTTGAGATACCCAGAAATATATATTAACTTTTGTGATAAATTGGACTTGCAGAGAATACATATTGTCAGAGTGTCAGAGGGTGATGGGGGAGAAAGGAGGACAGGGCCCAGGGGGGTGGAAACAGGTATCTGGGAAGAAGAATTAAGAGGAAGAGATGTAGGGGGGAGGGGGGGAGAGGAGGGGGAGAGGCATATTGTGTTTTATAAAAAGTTTTTTTTTTTGTTTTTTTTGCCTCTCTCTCCATCTTTCCTCTTCCTGTCCATACCCGTCCCACCTTCCCATATGATTCCATTTATGATTCCCTCAATGGTCAGTACCCCCAATGGGATAGTGGGGCAAGAGAGGGGGGGATGGGGGGGACAGGACAGGTTGGTGTCAAGGAGGCCTGTTAACTAGCTGCTTAAAAAATTAGGAATGTCATCTACTCAGGGAAATAAGTGGTGATCATGTTTCGAGTTTAACCCCTTATTATGAATTGCCAGTAGGGATACCCCTAGTCAGATTCCAAGGCTAAATGTCTGCCGGGGGAAGGGGGGTGGGTGGGAGTGGGAAGAGGAGGAAGAGGAATGGTAGAGACTATCTGTATTTGATATCATATGTATGGGAGCCAATAGGTCAGAACAATTATGAGAGAAATTAACTAGATTAAATTTATAATCTATATTGTGAAAGGGCTAAATTCCCCCCAAAAAAGACATAAGATACTTAGGGAAATCCAGCAATACTCAATAGAATATTCCTTCAAGAAACCCATTTAACTAGCAATACAAATGTGAAACTATATTCGAAGTATCACCAAACGTGGATATTAGAGATGAGCGAATCGAAGTAGGCGAAGTGGAATTCGTTTCGAATATTAGAAAAATTTCGATTCGCGCCGAATCCGAAAATAAGCAGACTTCGGAAAATCGAAATTTTTCCTAAAATGGCGGCGACATGTGCGGCGACGGAGCGGGGATGTCTGGGAAGGCGCGCAGACAAGGCGCGCTGACCCATAATGCATTCATTCGTGACATGTGATCGCATTAGCCAATCAGCAGCCAGCCAGCACTGTGTAATGGTCGAGCTATAAATGGCGGCCATTTTAGAATTCTCCATTTGCCTCCAGTCATTCAACAGAGGCAGACCTGGCTGTATTCAGGGAGAGAGTTAGGGACACAGAAACGTTACTTAGGGACATAGAAACGTTAGTTAGGGACACAGAAACGTTACTTAGGGCCACAGAAACGTTACTTAGGGACATAGAAACGTTACTTTGGGCCACACTGTAAAACTTTACTTAGGGGACACAGAAACGTTACTTAGGGACACAGAAACGTTACTTAGGGCCACAGAAAACGTTACTTAGGGCCACAGAATTGTTACTTAGGGGACAGACACAGAATTGTTACTGAGGGACACAGAATTGTTACTGTGAGGGCCACAGAACTGTTACTTAGGGCCACAGAAACGTTACTTAGGGCCACAGAATTGTTACTTAGGGACCAGACACAGAATTGTTACTGAGGGCCACAGAACTGATACTTAGGGCCACAGAAACGTTACTTAGGGCCACAGAAATTGTTACTTAGGGACAGACACAGAATTGTTACTGAGGGGACACAGAATTGTTACTGAGGGCCACAGAACTGTTACTTAGGGCCACAGAAACGTTACTTAGGGACACAGAATTGTTACTCAGGGACAGCCACAGAATTGTTACTTAGGGACAGACACAGAATTGTTACTGAGGGACACAGAATGTTACATAGGGCCACAGAAACGTTACTTAGGGCCACAGAAATGTTTACTTAGGGCCACAGAATCGTAACTTAGGGCCACAGAAACGTTACTTAGGCCACAGAAACGTTACCTAGGGCCTCAGAATTGTTACTGAGGGACACAGAATTGTTACTGAGGGCCACAGAACTGTTACTTAGGGCCACAGAAACGTTACTTAGGGACACAGAATTGTTACTTAGGGACAGACACAGAATTGTTACTGAGGGCCACAGATCTGTTACTTAGGGCCACAGAAACGTTACTTAGGGACACAGAATTGTTACTTAGGGACAGACACAGAATTGTTACTGAGGGACACAGAATTGTTACTGAGGGCCACAGAACTGTTACTTAGGGGACAGAAACGTTACTTAGGGACACAGAATTGTTACTCAGGGACAGACACAGAATTGTTACTTAGGGACAGACACAGAATTGTTACTGAGGGACACAGAATTGTTACTGAGGGCCACAGAACTGTTACTTAGGGCCACAGAAACGTTACTTAGGGCCACAGAATTGTTTACTTAGGGACAGACACAGAATTGTTACTGAGGGACACAGAATTGTTACTGAGGGCCACAGAACTGTTACTTAGGGACAGAAACGTTACTTAGGGACACAGAATTGTTACTTAGGGACAGACACAGAATTGTTACTGATGGACACAGAATTGTTACTGAGGGCCACAGAATTGTTACTTAGGGCCCACAGAAACGTTACTTAGGGACACAGATTGTTACTCAGGGACAGACACAGAATTGTTACTTAGGGACAGACACAGAATTGTTACTGAGGGACACAGAATCGTTACTTAGGGCCACAGAAACGTTACTTAGGGCTACAGAAACGTTACTTAGGGCCACAGAATTGTTACTTAGGGACAGACAAAGAATTGTTACTGAGGGACACAGATTTGTTACTGAGGGCCACAGAACCGTTACTTAGGGCCACAGAAACGTTACTTAGGGACACAGAATTGTTACTCAGGGACAGACACAGATTGTTACTGAGGGACACAGAATTGTTACTGAGGGACAGACACAGAATTGTTACTGAGGGATACAGAATTGTTACTGAGGGACACAGAACGTTACTTAGGGCCACAGAAACGTTACTTAGGGCCACAGACAAAACGTTACTTAGGGCTACAGAAACGTTACTTAGGGCTACAGAAACGTTACTTAGGGCCACAGAATTTTACTTAGGGCCACAGAAACTTTACTTAGGGCCACAGAAAGGTTACTTAGGGCCACAGAATTGTTACTTAGGGACAGACACAGAATTGTTACTGAGGGACACAGAATTGTTACTGAGGGACACAGAATTGTTACTCAGGGACACAGAATTGTTACTCAGGGACAGACACAGAATTGTTACTCAGGGACAGACACAGAATTGTTACTTAGGGACACAGAAATTGTTACTGAGGGACACAGAATTGTTACTCAGGACAGACACAGAATTGTTACTCAGGGACACAGAATTGTTACTGAGGGACACAGAATTGTTACTGAGGGACACAGAATTGTTACTCAGGGACAGACACAGAATTGTTACTCAGGGACACAGAATTGTTACTGAGGGACACAGAATTGTTACTGAGGGACACAGAATTGTTACTCAGGGACAGACACAGAATTGTTACTCAGGGACAGACACAGAATTGTTACTGAGGGACACAGAATTGTTACTGAGGGACACAGAATTGTTACTGAGGGACACAGAATTGTTACTCAGGGACACAGAATTGTTACTCAGGGACACAGAGAATTGTTACTGAGGGACACAGAATTGTTACTGAGGGACACAGAATTGTTACTCAGGGACACAGAATTGTTACTGAGGGACACAGAATTGTTACTCAGGGGGACACAGAATTGTTACTCAGGGACAGACACCGAATTGTTACTGAGGGACACTCAGAATTGTTACTGAGGGACACAGAATTGTTACTGAGGGACACAGAATTGTTACTCAGCGACAGACACAGAATTGTTACTCAGGGACAGACACAGAATTGTTACTGAGGGACACAGAATTGTTACTGAGGGACACAGAATTGTTACTCAGGGACACAGAATTGTTACAGGGACACAGAATTGTTACTGAGGGACACAGAATTGTTACTCAGGGACAGACACAGAATTGTTACTCAGGGGACACAGAATTGTTACTGAGGGACACAGAATTGTTACTGAGGGGACACAGAATTGTTACAGCGACAGACACAGAATTGTTACTCAGGGACAGACACAGAATTGTTACTGAGGGACACAGATATGTTACTGAGGGACACAGAATTGTTACTGAGGGACACAGAATTGTTACTCAGGGACACAGAATTGTTACTCAGGGGACACAGAATTGTTACTCAGGACAGACACAGAATTGTTACTGAGGGACACAGAATTGTTACTGAGGGACACCAGAATTGTTACTCAGGACCGACAGAATTGTTACTCAGGGACAGACACAGAATTGTTACTGAGGGACACAGAATTGTTACTAGGGACACAGAATTGTTACTGAGGGACACAGAATTGTTACTCAGGGACACAGAATTGTTACTGGGGACAGACACAGAATTGTTACTGAGGGACACAGAATTGTTACTCAGTGTACACAGAATTGAGGGACACAGAATTGTTACTGAGGGACACAGAATTGTTACTCAGGGACAGACACAGAATTGTTACTCAGGGACAGACACAGAATTGTTACTCAGGGACAGACCGAATTGTTACTCAGGGACAGACACAGAATTGTTACTGAGGGACACAGAATTGTTACTGAGGGACACAGAGAATTGTTACTCAGCGACAGACACAGAATTGTTACTCAGGGACACAGAATTGTTACTGAGGGACACAGAATTGTTACTCAGGACAGACACAGAATTGTTACTCAGGGACAGACACAAATTGTTACTCAGGGACACAGAATTGTTACTCAGGGACAGACACAGAATTGTTACTGAGGGACACAGAAATTGTTACTGAGGGACACAGAATTGTTACTCAGCGACAGACACAGAATTGTTACTCAGGGACAGAACAGAATTGTTACTGAGGGACACAGAATTGTTACTGAGGGGACACAGAATTCGTACTCAGGGACACAGAATTGTTACTCAGGGACACAGAATTGTTACTCAGGGACACAGAATTGTTACTCAGGGACACAGAATTGTTACTCAGGGACAGACACAGAATTGTTACTGAGGACAGACACAGAATTGTTACTGAGGGACACAGAATTGTTACTCAGCGACAGACACAGAATTGTTACTCAGGGACAGACACAGAATTGTTACTGAGGACACAGAATTGTTACTGAGGGACACAGAATTGTTACTCAGGGACACAGAATTGTTACTCAGAGGGACACAGAATTGTTACTGAGGGACACAGAATTGTTACTCAGGGGGACACAGAATTGTTACTCAGGGGACATGTACACAGAATTGTTACTCAGGGACAGACACAGAATTGTTACTCAGGGACAGACACAGAATTGTTACTCAGGGACAGACTATACAGAATTGTTACTCAGGGACAGACACAGAATTGTTACTGAGGGACACAGAATTGTTACTGAGGGACACAGAATTGTTACTCACAGCGGACACAGAATTGTTACTCAGGGACGACACAGAATTGTTACTGGGGACACAGAATTGTTACTGAGGGACACAGAATTGTTACTCAGGAGGGACACAGAATTGTTACTGAGGGACACAGAATTGTTACTGAGGGACACAGAATTGTTACTCTAAGGGACAGACAATAATTGTTAATCAGGGACAGACACAGAATTGTTATGAGGGACACAGAATTGTTACTGAGGGACACAGAATTGTTACTCAGCGACAGACACAGAATTGTTACTGAGGGACACAGAATTGTTACTGAGGGACACAGAATTGTTACTGAGGGACACAGAATTGTTACTGAGGGAAGACACAGAATTGTTTACTCAGGGACACAGAATTCGTTTAATTAAAGAGTATGTCAGACAACATGCAGAGGTGGCAGAGGAGGCAATGTTTTAGGAGCGAGCAGACGTGGCAGCAGAGGAAGGGGTCGAGGCAGCACTATTCCGCAGCAGAGGCCAGTGCTCCCGGTGTCATCCAGCGGTCGTGTCTCCACCGACAACCTTGCCGTCATCGTTTGGTTGGCTCGGTCGTCTTCCTCTTCCCAGGTCACCTCTGACACCTACAGCCAACGGTCGGTGGGTACGTCAGACACAACCGTTAGTTGGCATGGCCCGGGAGCAAGCCCACTGAAATCACGTGTCCTCTACCTGCCCCTGTCTTTGGTGTTCCCTCACCAAGCGAAGTATCGCATGCTGTGGGCTCAGCCCACTGTACAGTGAGGAAGAGCTAAACAGAGGGCGGTCAGGAACGGGGGGGGGGACATCCGCCTCTTCAGCAGCCAGGCGAAGCCATTTTAAGTAGTGGCGAGGAGAGTGGCTCGGTAGCCGGTCTAGAGACAGGTCTGTCTCCTGACCCACACGCAGCCGAGGGGGCTAGTAGTGAGGCGGAGAGACCCTAATTGATGATGATGAGGTGATCGCACTTGGCAGCCTCGTCGTCATCAGGCTATTGCTTCCGCATCATCAGGAGAAGAGGGTGCAGCTTGGCAGCGAGCAAAACAGTCGGTGGGTTGCCCAGGAGGCAGCAGGGTCGCGCAGCAGTGTCAGTGGAGGCAAAACGGCCACGGAGTACAAGCACCAGCTCCACTGCAGCCTACCACACGGCCAGTAGTGGTGCCGGTGTGCACGGAGGGGAGTAGCAGCAGTCAGCCAGTGAGGAGTACGGTGGCAAAGTTTCCTACTCGGCGGTGTGGCAATTTTTTGTCAAGCCGCCCCGAGGAAGTAAACGTAGCCGTATGTCGACTATGTGGCCAGAAAGTCAAGCGTGGCCAGGGGCCCATGTTGGGACTACAGCGTTGCGGCAGCATATGCAGCGTCGCCATTTGGTGGCCTGGGAAAACCGTGATAAAGATACGGCGGTTCTGCCCGCCCCAGCCCCCGCCACTCCTCACCCGCTCCGTTACTTGCTCCGTCACCGACGTCAATCGCCCTCTATCAGCCAGTCAAGGCTCCAACACCTCTGCTGAGAGGGAGTGTCGCTTGTTGGCATCTTCCGCTCGTTCAGATGCTCCTTCTCTGCTACTCCTCTTCACGGATTCCGTCAGCAGTCTTTCTTGGAATCCGTTTCCAAGAGACAACAGTTTGCGAGCACGCACCCGACGGTGCAAAGCTGAACGTCCTCCTGTCCAAGTTGCTGGTGCTGCAGTCCCTCCCTTTCCAAGTGGTGGACTCAGCACCTTTCCGAGAAAATGATGGCTGATGTGCCGCGCACGCGGTGGAGAGTGCCAAGCCGTCATTTCTTTCGCCAAAAAGGCAGTTGCCAAAGTCCTGCATTCACATGTAGAAGAGATGGTGGTCCAGTCTTGAGCATGTCGGTCTCATGCCAAAGTGCACTGGCAGCCGCCGACGTGTGGAGCTGTAACTACGGTCAGGGACAGTACATGTCATTTTACGGCCCACTGGGTGAACGTGGTGCCGTCACAGCCGCACCAGCAACTTGGACAGGTCACGCCGCTTTTGCCTCCAAACGTTTGCACGTCCTTGGTCGGCCCAAAGATGTCCGCCTCTACCACCTCTTCTTCCGCCGTGTCCTCAGCCGCCCCCCCCGTGCCAAGTCCATTCCCATTACCCGACCGGCATATCACATGTGCAGGGCGCAACGGTGTCACGCTGTGCTGCACCTGGTATGCCTTGGCGAACGTAGTCACACAGGGGAGGAACTTTCTGAGTGTAATGAACAGAGAAATCGACAGATGGCTGTCTCCCGCGCAAACTGAAAATCGGAACCATGTTGACCGACAACGGAAAGAACATGGTGTCTGCTCTGCGTCAAGGAAGGTTGTGCCATGCGCCATGCATGGCTCACGTGTTCAATCTGGTTGTCAAGCGGTTTCCTAAAATCCACCATCCCACTGCAAGACATCCTTAAAATGTCACGTAAACTTTGCATGCATTTCAGCCATTCCTACACCGCAAAGCACACCCTCCTTGAGCTGCAGCGGCAGAACGGAATTCCACAGCATCGCCTGATCTGCGACGTTTTGAAACAAGGTGGAATTCAACCTACACATGTTAGACCGCCTTTACGAACAGCGAAAGGCCATCACCGATTTCCTGATGTTACAAGCGGATAAAGGTACTCCCCTGTGTAACTTCGATGTCAGCCATTGGCAGCTCATGCGTGGCACCTGCCGCTTGCTCAGGCCCTTTGAGGAGGCCACGCTATTCGTGAGTCGGCACGGGACTATGGGATGAACGACGTCATTCCTCTGTTGCACGTCCTGGAACAAATGCTGTTAACAATGGCTGGTCAGGGTGCGGTAGACGTGGCGCACAGATCTCAACGCCACATGACCCCCTGTGGGGCAGGACAGGAAGAAGAGGAGGAGGTAGAGGAGGATGACATTTGTGCTCAGGAATTATTGAGTGAAATGGGTGGTTTTTCCACTCAGCGGACAGGAGTGAGAGGAGCAGGAGCATCTGGTGTTAAGGAGGAGGAGGAGGAGACTAGAGGACCCAGTCGCACCGTGGCAGTATGCTGTGGAGATGGAGGCAGGGAGTCCCTCTCATTCCTTGCACAAATGGCCCATAGCATGCTCGGTTGCTTGCGTAGCGGACAGCCGAATAATAACCATCAGACAGAGGGATGACTTTTGGCTGTCCACTTGTTTGGACCCTCGCTAAACCGTTCAAAATGGTGGCCTTTTTCACACCTGCTGAGAGGGAGGCCAAAATAACGTACTATAAAAACCACATATATAGTCAGTTGGTCTCTGCCTTTCTGCGCCAACGTCCATCCTCAGACACTGTGGGCCCTGTGCGCTCGCGTTCCGCTGCCATGGCAGCAGGGGAGGGGTGGGGTGGTAGGAGCAGTGGCAGCTCCACCAGCAGCGGCTGCCTCAGTCTGCAGTCGATGATGAGTACTTTCTTTCACCAGCGCAGTGAGGAAACTACTAACCAAGCCGCAGCAGCAGCAGCAGCAGCATCAGGTGGACCTGGACAGGACCTCAAACAACAGGCTTGGCCTACTTGGACAGCACCCTGCCAACCGAGGTAGACAATCCCCTTGACTACTGGGAAACGAAACTTGACCATTTGGCCCCAACTAGCTGAATTTGCCCTTGTAAAAGGCTGTCATGCCCGGCCAGTAGCGTGGCATCGGAGCGCGTGTTTAGAGCGGCAGGAGGGTATTGTAACTCCGCGGAGGACACGACTGTCCCACCCAAAGTGTGGAGAGACTCACGTTTGTTAAAATGAAATCAGGCGTGATTAGTCTGGATTTCAAACCACCAGTTCCTGACACAAATGACTAAAATCCGCCATGAGAATCATGCCCCCAAACATGTGCCACATTTCAGGTCTCCTCACACTGCTGGTGTGTTCCATTTTTTGTCATCAGGCTGGTGCTGGCAGATTACGGGCCTCCCATGCTGCTGCCAGGCCCCTAATCTGCCATGGGCCCCTATACCGCCTCCTCATGCTGCTGCCAGGTGCAGAGTCTCTCATGGGTCCCCCTGTACGGCCTCCCATTGCTGCTGTCTCCATCGCCACACTCTGCCATGTGCCACTTTCAGGTCTCCTCACATCCACTGCTGGTGTTGTTCCATTTTTTTGCCATAGGGTGCTGGCAGATTACGGGCCTCCCATAGCTGCTGCCAGGCCCTAATCTGCCATGGGCCCCTGTACCGCCTCCTCATGCTGCTGCCATTGGGTTTCCCCCCTGTCCACAGTGTCTCATGCCATGTGCCACTTTCAGGTCTCCTCACACTGCTGTTGTGTTCCATTTTTGTCATAGGGTGCTGGCAGATTACGGGCCTCCCATTGCTGCTGCCAGGCCCGTAATCTGCCATGGGCCCCTGTACCTGCCTCCTCATGCTGCTGCCAGGTCACAATTAGTGTCTCATGCCATGTGCCCACTTTGTTGTCGCTTGTTGGCATATTCCCGCTCGTTCAGATGTCCTTCTCCTGCTACTCCTCTTCACGGATTCCATCAGCAGTCTTTCTTGGAATCCGTTTCCAAGAGACAAACAGTTTGCGAGCACGCACCCGATGGTGCAGAAGCTGAACGTCCTCTGTCGCCCAAGTGCTGCGGATTTTAAGGAGGGAGTTTGCCAGGCTCGTAATCTGTCATGCGCCCCTGTACCGCCTCCTCATGCTGCTGCCAGGTCCAGAGTGTGTCATGGGCCCCTGTACCGACTCCTCATGCTGCTGCCAGGCCCGTAATCTGTCATGGGCCCCTGTACCGCCTCCTCATGCTGCTGCTGCCAGGTCCAGAGTGTGTCATGGGTCCCTGTACGGCCATCCCATTGCTGCTGCCAGGCCCGTAATCTGCCATGGGCCCCCGTACCCAACTCTCATGCTGCTGCCAGGCCCGTAATCTGTCATGGGCCCCTGTACCACCTCCTCATGCTGCTGCCAGGTCCAGAGTGTGTCCATGGGTCCCTGTACGGCCTCTCATTGCTGCTGTCTCCATCGCCACACTCTGCCATGTGCCACTTTCAGGTCTCCTCACACTCCTGGTGGTTTCCATTTTTGTCATAGGGTGTTGTTATGGCCTCCCATTGCTGCTGCCCACCGCCACACTGTGGCTCCACACTCTGGTTTTGGCCCCGTGACTGCCCAAATGAGTGAAGTGTGCGGTGATTCTAAGATCGACGGCACTCATCTGCATGTCATTACTGACTGTCAGTATTATTTCTCTTCCCCAGCAGACTCCAAGGGCATTTAAATTAAAGGTACAGTGTTCTGCACTAATATAAAGGCTCTCTGAAGCCTAGAAACACCCCTTTTATAAGTTAAATTCGCAGCGAATATATTCGACTCGAATCAAAATTTTTTCACGAATTCGCCGAATCAGTCGAATCAAATTTTTGAATAATTCGCTCCATCTCCTAGTGGATATACGTGGATTCACCTGTAAGGGGGGCAAAAGGAGTCGCAATAGGGTTCTCGGCAAAAGTAAACTTCGCTGTGGAGGACAGAATGGAAGACACGGGTCATAAGGGTACCTGTTCATCAGGGGAAAGTTACAAGGAGGGGAATACACGAGGAGAGAGGGAGATAGGAGTCTTAAATCACTGAAAAAGTTATTGTACAAGCATCAATTGGTAGATGTGTGGAGAATAAATCATCCAAGGGAAAGATACTATACTTTCTTCTCGAAGGTTCACGGGTCATACTCCAGATTGGACTATATAATGATTGAGCATAGACAGTTGGGGATATTGAAGGGATCAAACATAGAGGTCTTGTCAGTTTCAGACCACTCTCCTGTCATGATGAGGTTACAAACAGGCGGAGGTAACGATAAAATATTTTCTTGGAAACTGAATGAAATGCTTCTACAGGATCCTGAAGTAGAGAAGAGGTTAAAACAGGAAATTGAACAATTCTTTAAGATAAATGAGACCGAGGGGATATCTGAGGCAACAGTATGGGAGACACATAAAGCTTACATTAGAGGAATATTGATCTCCATAGGAACAGAAAAGAAGAAAGAAAGGGGAAAAAATAAAGCTGATAATAGAAGAACTACATAAATTGGAACAAAGACATAGAACAAAATAAATGTATATCAGATGATAATACTGAAAAGAGATGAGATGAAAGATCTGATGGAACAAGACACTAGGAGGATATTTAATAAAGTTGCAAAGGAAAGATATCAATGGGGGAACAGACCCGGAAAACACTTAATGAAAAGAATTAGGAATAAGAAATCCAGGCAGTTTATAGAAACAAATTAGAGATGAGAAGGGAGAGATCGTATATAAGACATCTGATATCGCTAGGAGGTTTTATAATTACTACAGTAAATTGTATGATGTGGAGGGGGGAAATCAAAAGGGTAAAGAAGAGAAGAAAAAAAGTAGACAGAAATATTTAAATGACGTAGATTTGCCACGATTATCTCAGTAAAAATTGGAGAGCCTCGAGAGCCCTATCACCCCAGAGAAAATCAATCTAGCCTTAAAAAACATGACTGTAGGCAAAAGCCCAGGACCAGATGGGTACACAGTAAGTTATTTGAAAAAAATTAAAGAACTTCTTGTACCCAAAATATGTAGATATATGACCGTGATCAGAGATGCGGGAAGAATCTCTTCAAGCTCACATCACACTCATTTTGAAGGAAGGGAAGGATAGCTCTCAATGTGCGAGTTATAGTCCGATATCATTAATAAATACCAATATCAAATTATATGCAAAGGTCCTGGCAACAAGATTGAAGGACCTGATGCCTGAATGGGTACACCTGGACCAGGTAGGCTTTGTCCCAGGAAGAGAGGGGAGGGATAATAGCTTGAGGTCCCTGATATTGATACAAAGAACAAAAAAAGAAAAAACACCAGTAATATTATCGATCGATGCAGAAAAGGCCTTTGACAGGGTTAATTGGGGATTCATGTTCGATACGCTGGAAACATTAAGAATGGGATCCAAAATGAAGAACTGGATAAAAAGGACTATACAAGAGCCCATCAGTGTCGGTAAAGGTGAATGGATCCTTCTCTCAGTTCTTTAAAATGTATAATGGAACTAGACAGGGGTGTTCCCTATCCCCATTACTGTTTGTGCTGACATTGGAACCACTCTTGGAGAGGGTTAGGAAATGTACTTATATAAGTGGGATACAATTAGGAGAAATAGAACATAAAGTCACGGCTTATGCAGACGATATGTTGTGCTATATCGCAAAGCCTAGAATTACACTGCCCAATTTAATGTAAGTATTAAGACAGTATGGGGGGTATCAAATTTGAAGATAAATCCAGTAAAATCAGAAATTTTAAATATCAATCTCTCAGTAGTAGAGAAGAAAAATTTACAAAAAGAGTTCCCTTTCTCCTGGAGGAAAAATGAAATAGGATATCTTGGAATAAAATTGTTTTCCTTAGTAAAAGGTTTATATCGATTAAATGATATCCCCTTGATAAATGAAATAAAAGAGGAGTTAAGAAGATTAACAAAAGGAGGTGCCTCTTGGATTGAACGAATAAACTTGGTTAAGGTGGTGATACTTCTAAAAAAATTTTTATAAATTCCATATGCTCCTGATTTCCATTCCAGGAATATTCTTTATAATAATTAAAAAGATGATTACTAAATTTATATGGGCAAAGAGACCAAGAATAAGCCATGAAGTGTTGTGCAGAACATAGGGGAATGGAGGACTGGGATTACCAAATATGAAGAACTATTACATAGCTGCAATTTTATCACGAGTAGTAGATTGGTCATTTAACTCACAAGGGAAAAGTTGGGTAAAGATGGAAGGGGCAATAAGAAAATCACAGTTAGAGAAGCTGTTATGGATACCTCATAGGTTTCGCACATTGGATGTAGATACAAGCACACTCACTAGGATAGTATTGGGCACATGGGATAGATTACACAGTAAGAATAAATGGAAATTTAATTCACTGATGATTCCACTGGTAGGAACAGAATTTTTTCCACCTGGTAATGATAAAAAAGGTGGAAGGTGGATAAAAGATATTACAAATGATGGGAAAATATGCAAATTTCAAAGTTTAAAAAAAATAAAGATTTATTTGTTAGGATGGATGAATGGAGGTATAACCAATTACACCATTTTGTTTCGAGTCTTGCTCAGCCGCTGAGGATATTGGAGGACATGAACCCATTTGAAAAATTAATGAATGGAGATGTGACTCCAAAGCATATCACCTCAAGGATATATAAGATCCTTATGGATTCTGATTGAGTATACCCACCTGAGTATGTAGGAAAATGGGAGAAGGAATTGGGTTTATAAAAGAACCCACAGCAAAGGAAATATGTCTTTAACCTAATACACAAGGCAACAAATATGCACACAGTAGAAATGAACTACAAATGCATAGCTAGATGGTATATTACACCAAGTGTTGCCCATAAACAGCAAGTAGAAATTTCCCCTTTGTGCTGTAGAGGGTGTGGGGAAATGGGTACAATGGCGCACATATGGTGGAATTGCCTGAATATACAGAATTACTGGAAGGAAATAGCTCAACTTATTCAGGAAATATGTGAGGTAGACATTCAGAGAGATCCGTGGAAATGTTTATTTTATTATTTTGAGCCAATAACGGAACTATATAAAAAATAAAGTATTGTACCATCTTATAAGTGCAGCTAAGGGTTTGATCCTTACGTTTTGGCAGGTGATAGAGGCACCAAAAATTGGAGACTGGATAGAGAGAGTAGAAAGTATTTTTTAGAATGGAGGATCTGTGTTATATGGAAGAAGATAAAATGGAACAGTTTAAAAAAATATGGAGTAGTTGGATGAAATTTGAATTCTCCAAAAAATACGCAGAATTAAAGAGAAATAAGGGGGGAAGTATAGACGGTATAAAGAAGTTTTTTCTTGGGATATAAAATAAAGAGAATTTAATACAGATAGAGGAAAGAATTGGACTGTTGGGGGGGAGGGGGAGGGTTGGGGGAGTGGGGGGAAATGGTTTGTAATGGTTTGTATAGGAATAGTATATTATTATTGTTGATGTAATGTGTTTTACTCCTTTCCTTTTGTATAATATCAAAATAAAAATGTAAATGGAAAAAATAAATAAATAATTATCTGACTCTTCCCCCACTCTCAGGCAGCTGGGTGAATCAGATGTGCACAGGGAGGGTGATCGGTAAAGTGAGCAGGGGCAGTTACTAGAACCGATCCCCTGTATGACTCTCTCTGCTGCATCTGAAAACCAGCGGGAGGGAGAGGAGAAGAATCCAGCTTTCAGATGCTACAGAGAGAGACATACAGTGGATCGGTTCCAGTAATTGCCCCCCAACCGTGCAGATCACTTTCCCTGCCCACATCCATCTCACCCAGCTGCCTGGGCCCGGTACAGATGGACTGGTGGTACCCCCTTATCCACAGCCCCCGCAGCCACTACTGCTACTGCGACTGGTCCAGGCACATGCGCAGCAGTGACTGTACGCTTTGCTTAGCCACCGCTCACCTGCTGAAACTGATAAGTTGTCATCCAGAGACTGCTGTCACAGTACTAGCCTTCATTGTACACCACGGTGGCAACCAAGGAGAGGCTGAGGAGGACTACTGATTGATGTGCCCTATATATTTCATCATTATGTGAGTGCATTGGTTTTAGTTTTTTTTAATAAATCAATAAATGGAGTTAAACTAGGGAGAATGTGTGCTCTCTGTTGCTTATGTCTTTGTTAGATGGACTAGTAGATTTACATGGACTTTGCATAAGTGGCTAACAAATTAAAACCTAGAAATGTTTTGTTTTTCCTTTTGGGATACAGATTTAACAAAAAAGCTGGCCATTATAAATACTATCATTACTGTTGGTTTGTGTCAACCCTCTAACTGCCACTTTTGGTCTATTAAAGAAAGCTGAAAAACAAAAAGACTTACTGGCAGGATCAACAGGAAATAAAACCATGTTACAGGAGGACTCAGAAAAAAGGACTGCTCTGTTAATGCTAGTGACAGACTGCATTATATAAATTATTTCTTATTTTATCCATAGTTCCACACAGCATTGTGGTTAGAGCAAGTTAAGTACTAGAAAGGTCAGGTAAAGTATTCTGGCAATGAAGACAGCAACTAGATCTCCGAAGGTATGCCATGGCATCTGGCACCCAGCTGTCAGTAGCAGATCCTTTAAGTCTTGTAAGTTGCGAGGTGGCACCTCCATGGATC